AAAGGGTTTTTTAAAAAAAATCTCCAGTAGTTTGTCAAGTTTGGTGTGCATAGTGGTGAAGCTGCTGGTCTAGAAATTGGGAGGCTGTGGGTTCTAGTCTTCCCTTAGGCACAAAAGCCGGCAGAGTAACTCTGGGCCAGTCTCTCTCTCTCTCTCAGCCCAACACACCTCACAGGGTGGTGGTTGTGGGGAAAATAGGAAGCATTATGCACGTTACCTTGAGTTGTACAAATAAAGGTGGGATAGAATCTAAATAGCATTTCCCTCCTTGGCATAAAGCGATGAAAAGGCAACTGGGGTGCTATTTCCTTCCCCCAGATGCCACCCCACTTCTGTTTGGGCACCTTTGGCCTGGTCAGAGTCAGTTGGGAAAAAACAAAACTAGCGATGATCCCTCCAAAAAAGCGCAGCTCCCAGGTAACTGGGAATTCTGGGGATTGTAGTCCCAACACATCTGGAGAGTGGAAGGGTGGGAAAGGTTGATTTCTCTGGAAGGTTTGGGTGCTTTTGGATGAGCAATTGCACACAAATTCTCCATGAACCCACCAGTGTCATCCAATGAAAGTGAGCAAAGCAAACGGATGGTATTGTGGACCCAGTGTAGACATTATTGATGGTTACATGAACAAGGGGGGACTCTATTCTCAGAAGCCTTCCCTAGAAAAATATCTTGGCCCCCTTCTGATCCCCAAGCTGGGGGTTCTTGGCCTTTTCATATGAGTGCAGCTACCAGTTGCCTTAATTTTATGCTGGTTCTTATTTTGCTTTTACAGTCTTTAGTTGCTGTTCTTTTCTCTGGCATCACACTAAACTTCAGGAATTTGGGGTGAGGATCAGATAGACAGGTAAGGAATGTCTAGGTGGCCCAGATGCCTCTGCTCTTCCTCCAGGCTCTCAGTCCCACTGAGGCTTTGGAAGATTCTTTGAATTAAAACTTCTGATAGTTGTCTTGCTGCAAAGCAGGAAATAGCTTATATATTGGTAGCAATGCCTCCCAATTGGGGAGGGTAGAGCTGCCTTCCAGGTTCAAGAGCAGACTATCTCTGGTCAAACTTGGGAAGGGCTGAGTCTCCACGCATTGGCTGCTAAACATGATTGGACACCCCCCCCCCAAGACCCTCCGGTTTTTAAAGGTTGCAACTCAGAGGAAACTCAAGATGCTCTTGGAGATCGAAAGGCAGCAGAGATTGCGGCTAGGAGGCCGCGTCCCTCCCAGGAGAGGGCCAGACCAAGCAAGGGCTTCTCTGCAAGGTTGATGCGGGGGAAACAGGCGCTGCTTCCTGCATCTGGGCGCTCTGGCGCGCTCGCGCTCTGCGGGCGCTTAGGATCGCTGCCGCAGGTTGACAGGAGCGGGAACAGCGAGCGCGCCGCCTCCGTTTTCTCCCCCGGCAGCAACCCGCGCTCTGCTGGGGACCCGGAAAGCTCAAGGGTTGGCTGCTCTTGGTTCGCGCCCAGCCCTGACCCTCGCGCTCTCCGGGGTCCCAGCAGAGCGCGGGTTGCCGCCGGGGGAGCAACGCTGGCTGCGTTCACACCAGGCCTTCACCTCGGGGGCCGAATTAATCGCTTCCCTCGGCTCACAAAGACGCGGAACTTTCAGCAACATTCGGCCAACGCCCCCCCCCTCCCCAAAAGCGAGCCAAACTTAGGACGTGCGAATGCAGCTGCTGGCTCTCTCGCCGCCCGTAAAAGGTTATTGCGCGAACGGAGCCTGGGAGAGCAACTGCAACGAACTGGGGCTTCCTTTGGACTTTTATGTGAGAAAAGCCAGCCGGGACGGTGGGGACTGCGCGCCAGCGCCCTTTTCCTTCGGGGTGGGGAGCTGTGTTCACACAATACGGGTACAATTCGTATCCGCGTTCAGATTGCCAGGGCCAAACCCGTTTTCTGGGTTCCCACTGAACCATCATAAACATAAAACAACATCATAAACTGAACTAACACGGGGCTGAAGCGTGGTTAGTTTGTCTCCGGGCGTTCTAGAGCAGCGGGACGCGTCAGCTACGGCAAAATCTTTTCTGGATCGCTTGATTCTGCAAAGGAGCTAGCTTCCTGCCCGCCGCTGCCCTGACGGGATCTTAAAAGAACTTGGATGTCACTGAGGCGAAAATGGGTGCACTTCTGCTAGGCTAGGAATATGGCATGGGAGGCTCATTTAATAGTGAGCAAACGCAGCTGTATGTCCGGTGAAGTTTCTGCAGAGGTGGGGAAAAGATCGCAGGTCTGAGCCCTGACTTTTTCTGCCCCCTCCCCAGTTCTGTTTCAGTCTGTTCTCTGCCCCGAAGTACGTCCCTTCCTCTGTAAGCCTTTGGGCCAACTGGTGACGCCTGGGGCAGGAGCTGAATTTGCTTCTTCAAACCTTCCCGGCCCCAGTCGGGACACCCCTTCCACCGGCCTTGCTCGGCGCTTAGGTGTGATCTCCTTAACCATGGTTTGTAGACTAAATCAAAATGGGCTGAGTCGTGCGCAACACACTATAGCTTAATAGCGCGGCGTATGAAGGTAGCCTAAGACGTAGGAAGCCCTTAAACAAGTCTTCCTTAGAGATAGACTACCCCAGTCCAGCGCCGCTCCATTTCTCCTGCCAAAGAGGCGGATTCCCGTGTCTTACATACCGCGAGTCCCCCCAGCGCTTTTGAGGGCACAACATTGCCGAATTTTGGTAACTGCTTCTTCCGGTGAGGGAGGGAGAAAAGGGGTCGGGTATCCAATAAATCAGTTCCTGCACAACGAGCCTCCCT